CCCAAGTGCAGAACCCCTTTGAGAGCCCAGGAAGGCGCACTTGGGAATTCCTTCCTGTGGGATACCCTCAAGCCCTTTCACCTCCCTCTCCCCCCAGGAATTGCTGAGAAAGAAAACAAAGGAAATCAACGGTTGTACCAGCTAATTAAACAATAGGTACAAACCTCTTAAGGACACAAAAATCCAATCCTGTTCTTAAAAAAGGTAAAAAACAAAAAGAAAGAAAATACATCTGGAACTTTGGGCTTTTTGCTAGGTTTAGAAAAAAACCCAATTACAAGGATTAAGCATCAAGATAGCTTCTTGAGGTCCAGCTTAAAGGTTACAAGCAAAACAAAAGCATCTGGGGTTAGCACAGAGGAGACCACAAGACATAAAGAGATAAACCTAATCGCGTCTTCCTAGATATGTCCTGATCTATTTACATATCTGGGGTTTCAAATGAGTAGTTTCTAGGTATGAGCTGATGATTTTCATACCTGGCCCAAGCATTTACAGCATAGCTCCAGCCCTGTCCCTGCTCTCCGGGAGAACAACCAGACAGACAAAGGGGGAAGTTTTCCCCCAATTTTAAAAAGTTCTAGCCTTCCCATTGGCTCTTTGGTCAGGTGCCCACTCCCTTCCTTTCACCTATGGGCTTTTTTAACCCTTTACAGGTAAAGCAAGTAGAGAACAGCTACTAATGGATTTTATAGCTAAGTGGGGTTCCATAAAAGGGAGCTTCCCCCCCTTCATTTATCACAGCCCCTCTGACATAGGTAGTTACACTCTTTACCTTGTACATGTGGATTCAATCAAAACATCTCTATCCTGCCATCCTGACCTCATCCTTAGGAGAGGTCAGTGTGTCCCTGTATTATCTTTGGGGAGTGTGTTTACACCATACCCTTGTATCGGGGTGTTCTAGTACTATCCTGCTGGAATGTGTTTACGTGAATACCTAGTGCCTAGGACTGCTTATGTTTTTGCAATACCAGCCCTGTTCTTGCCAAGTTCAGGTATCAGATATTGAACCTGCAAGCAGGTATCTGCTTTGTAACAGGGCCTGACTTTAGTTCAGGCCTCATACCAGACCTAATGTCTCAGGCTCTCTCTTTCTATTACATTGGTCTCTCCTCTGTTTGATTAGGAGCAGGTACTTGAACCTGGGTCTCCCACATCCCAGGTGAGCCCTAACCACCAAGGCTTGTACAGCAACTGATTGTGTTCAGCCCTGTATGGAGCATAATGGAAGACATAACCCTCAGCCCAAGGAGTTGACCGCCTAAACAGGAAACAGTTCAAACACACATATATGGGTGACTATATAAAGATCGGTTTCAGAGTAGCAGCCGTGTTAGTCTGTATCCGCAAAAGAACAGGAGTACTTGTGGCACCTTAGAGACTAACAAATTTGTTAGTCTCTAAGGTGCCACAAGTACTCCTGTTCTTTTTTTTTTATAAAGATGAAATCACAAAACAATCCAGTTTGTTAAAAATTCTAAGCACTTGTGTCTCTGGCTGTCACTCAAGGCTTTGTGGACAAAGTTATTTGCTAAGAAAGCATGTGAGTGCTGCTTTGGGCGAACACCTTTAATAAGTTGTGTCATTTTGCTTTTTAAAGTAAGGGCCAATGAGGCTTCAAGTAGGCTAGGAAAAACGTTAGAGCAGCTAACATGAGCTGGCTAAGCCCAACCACCTTTCCTTGTCTAGACAAGACCTAATTTTTTCAGACAGTGTAAAAGACTTTCACTTTGGAAAACACACTGATAAACACATACTTTGTGCAAGGAAGTGACAAATCGGCTCTCTAGACATTTGCACCTATACGGACTACAAATGTGAAGTAAAATACTACTTAAATCAGAATGGTAGCTTGTCACACCCACTTTGGACTCAGCTTGCACTGGTTTAAATGACTACATGAGGTCATTGGAGGAATCAGGCCCACAATGTGTATATGTATAACTATTGTGTATACACACAAAGCATGTGTGGGGGGGAAAAAAAAATCAGTTTTTCTGTCATTTTTTATTACTAAGGTTGATTGCATAAAAACACAAGCTCTTGCTGTTTAAGTCTTACTTAGCCATATTGTATTAGTTTCCCCTTCTATAAAACTAGAAAAATTATACGTGCCCAATTTTGTAGATAGCTTTGAAATCTAGGGCCAGATCTTCAGCTGATGTACATTCACACCCTTATTCTGGCCTTTGCTCACAAAAAGTACTGTGTAATTACTATATATCACTAGTTATTAACGTCAGTGCCCAAATAGGTCATCACAGTATTATCATGTGTGACACTAAAAGACAGGTGGATGTTTAAAGACCACAGATCCTATTTACAAGCAAAATATCCTGATAATCTTCAGAGAGAGAGGCAGGGAGGGAAAATAATTCAGAAAATAGGGCATGCAGCAGCAAAACCATTACTAATTAGACTGTTTACTTAGTTTTCCATGAGGCATCTGCAGCCATTTGAGTCAAGTAGAAAAATCAGTTCTAAGAAAAATAAACTTGTCCTTAAAAATCTACAGCAATAGTTGGTATTTTATTTTTATATATATGATATACTTATTTGTTATTTAATGCATTAAATTTGGTTAAAATTTGGTTCTCCCGTAAGATTGCATGTCCTCCAGTCTTATGCAAAGCAGTTTTCCTTGGTTACATTTTACTAATGTTTTAAACTAGTATGTAAATTTATAGTTTGTTTTTAGGGTCTCTCCCTTGACAAGTTTCTTAAACTTCAAGTAATCAAAAATGCAGTTTTCCTTCTCTCCCCCTACCCCCTTTTTCTTTAGTTGTATTTTCCCAACAAAGTTACAGTCCTCTACCACAGTTACCTTCAGCGGTCTGATAGACTTGCCATCATTCACAGGAATCAGGCCTGACTTGTCTCAAGAGATCTCTATTAGTCACTCATGCAAGTTTCAAGTAATTACATGTAACATACTTACGGTTTTGGTTCTAGATGCGAGATCTCCAACCTTGGAATACGAGAGCCTTCATCCCAGGTTGAGTTTGTCTGAGGATCGTCTTACAGTAAGCTGCAGCTGGAGGAGGAAATTTTACCCTTATAGCCCCCAGAGATTTGATAAATTATGGCAAGTCTTGAGCAAAGATGCTTTCTTCTCTGGGAGCCATTACTGGGAAGTGGACGTGCTTCACGCTGGACAAGGATGGTGGATTGGAGCAGCGTACCCTTCCATCAAGAGACATGGAGACGCCGAAACTTGTCGACTAGGATGGAACAGAGCTTCCTGGTGTATAAAAAGGTTTGACCTTGAATATTGGGCATTTCACAAGGGAGAGAGGACCCTGATCCTGATAAATGACGATCCAGAACGAATTGGTGTTTTCCTGGATTACGAAGCTGGCATCCTCTCGTTCTATAATGTAACGGATGGTATGGCCCATCTGCATACGTTCCGCTGCAAGTTCACAGAGCCTCTTTACCCAGCACTTAGGCTGTGGGAAGGGGCAATAACAATCTGCAAACTGACTTAAGAAGCGATGAGACAAAGACATGAACTAGAGCCTGCTTTTCAATTATTTGTATGTAAAACCACTTTAAAAGGAGTTATAAATTAATTCTCACAGATTACAGCAACCACGCTGTAAGGCTTTAAAGGGTTTAGCTACATTTCTGACTCAATACTGATCACTAAAATGTGATTCTCAGTACCCAGTATAGATAAATACTCAGGTCTTTGTCAAATCAAATACCCCAGAAGATACTATTATAGATGAGTGATTTTTACATGATTGTATTTTCCAAGTGCTCTTCTGCCATTTATGAATGGCACTTCAGGTTATAGAATTGTAAGAATCCTCCTCAGGGTGTCTAAAAGACTAAAGCAATTTTACACTGTATTTTTGTAGTGGATTGTGGCTTACAAAATAGAACACAGTCCTATTTTAATTACGTGATAGCTGTCATAATTTATGCAACTGACTTTTGGAACAGGAGCTACTAGTCCATTTTATTAAACTACTACCCTACCTCCAGCTGGCTGGAGAGATTACCATCTTGCATAGGTATTACTCTGAGCTTGGCTTATGTAAGATGCAACTTTTAGTTTAATTTTGTTATTTCAGTTTGAATTTGGAGAACAGATCCAGTAACCGAAATAGCTCATGGTAAAAAGCTTCATCCACTTCCAAGAACAATCAAAGGGTTGCTTTCACTGTTGCCTAAAACTAATTTCAGATTTTCCTGGAGTGAGGACTTTTATATCGACACTAACTAGCTAGTGTTGTGTGGGGTCCAGTAAGTAGAGCTTGAATTGAACTGATTTAAGTAGTACAGCACACTGGTCATTGAGGGAAGCCTGTCCTACTGTTTTACAGTCAGACTTTCTGTAGATGGACTCCTTCTCCAGAAATGCACACCGCAGCCATTCTGAAGGGGTGTGAGAGGAAGCACTGTGATGCTGTACAGCCCCATCACTCCCCATTTGGAAGTCGGAGGCATGTGGAAAAGGACCATCTCCACATTAGATTCTAGCTGCATTGTCACTTCCATTGCAGAGCTTATGGAGCTGGGAGATATTACTTTAATTTCTCTCCAGCTTGCTACTTTCAAAGGCACTCAATTAATGCTGCTAGTGTTTTACCACACTCACATGCAAGCGGGTTGTTATGACTGTTGCTCTCAAAGTTACTGTATTCTTAAAGTTGGATGTGCATAAGAGTGGAGGTTTGTTCTTTTCCCAAATCCATAATACTTAAAATTCAGAAGGATTTCTTAGATAGTATCCATAGAAGTCCTTTTTCTACTGTAGACCAACCTGTAGTGCTTTAACTACTGTATTCTCTAACCTTGTGAGAGCACAGGCCTAGAACACACCTTGGTTTCCAATGCCAGAGGCACACCTACAATAATGTTCTGTGCAGGGGATATTAAGAAAAGGCAAGGGCTAGGTCTCCTCTTTAAAATGAAATGGCAAAGTAGCAGCTTTTGTTTGACAAACTTGATTTTTATTGAAAACAAACAAAAATAAATGTTTCTTTCAACAATCATTTAGTATCATCTTCTCTTAAGGCAAGCATACTGCATCAACTGAAGCTCACAATCACGATTCAGACAATTTAAGCAAGAAGCTGAATGAAACAACCTCTTCCCATCTTAAATGTATGGCCATACAGTCTCCTGCCACTGTAGTAGTATGTTTAAGATAAACGTTAAGGAGCCCACAGCTCTGCTTATATTGACAAGGTGTCCAAGGTACCTAAAGTCATAAGAGGCAGAAAGTTCCATCAACTTCACTGATGACTTCTGCTATCAATTAATTAAAATGAATTCTAATAAGGTATTGCGCCAGTTAAGGTAATTGAAGAGTGTATGACCTGCAGCCCACAGCTGCCCTTTCTTCTAGCCTATAACCCTGCTTCCTTCAGGCAGGAGCGAAGCAGCAGGCATTAGTAAGTGCACAAGTTGGCGAGGAGCACGGGCTGCTGCAGTTCTCACTGTAAAGGAGATGATGGGGAGGCACCAGACCAAGGGGCAGAAAGGTAGCAGGGAGACACAAATGAGTTGTCACAGTGGAGCAGCAGTGTTGTATGTAGGACTATAACAGGGTTTAAAAGAGAACTAGATAAATTCATGGCGGTTAAGTCCATTAATGGCTATTAGCCAGGATGGGTAAGGAATGGTGTCTCTAGCCTCTGTTTGTCAGAGGGTGGAGATGGATGGCAGGAGAGATATCACTTGATCATTACCTGTTAGGGTCACCATTGGTCCGACCCAGTACGGCCGTTCTTATGTAATCCAGGCTCTAGCATCAAATGATTGAAAGGTGTTTTTAAAAAAAAGCTACCGGGAATATTGACTGCATAATTGTCTAATGAGAGAAGTTTCTGCTAGGCTAGTGCTACTGAGACTGGTATGCGCATATTGACATCTTAGATCTAGATCATCCCAAAAGGAACCTGAAATAAACCCACACACTCATCTTCTCACCCAAATAACCATTACCGTGATATCCTGACAATGAGCAGCATACAAGACGCTTCTGAACGGGATCTTTGGTGATGTTGAAGATTACATCCTTTTTTAAACACAGTATTACACAACTTTAATAAAACTGGGTTCATAATTTCATGTAAGTTTGCAGCAAATATCTTTTTGCCAACATGAAATAGAAATTCTGTTCAGATTCTCATACCTAAATCCCTTCACTTCTAATCTACCACGCTATTAATTCCAAAAAGTATGGCTGCAGTACTGTACTGCACAGCATGTTATGAACAATACAGATGTGAATGCTTCCATTTAGCATTTCACTTTTTTAACATGATTTTCTATTGCATCCTCAGTGATTGTTTCATCTTCTTCAATGTTTGTTTTGACCTTTTTGCCAACCAGATCAAAAATTTCTTCTGGGAGGTATCCTTTAGGTTCTCCCACCTTCACTGTGAGCATGTCAAGAGTCAGCACCGTACCTTCAGGGATAGTCACTTTTGCCACCACAGACTTCCCCAGCTACAGAAATACCAACAGAAGAGGATTAGTTTATTGAACCAAGTGCATTCTAATTCATAAAGTATCAAGGACAGGCGAAAGATTGAAAATGAGGTCTCTTTTTTCTTACCAGCTACAAAGAAAACTCACTGACTTTCCTCTCCCCTGTCTGCTCTACTTCCAAATGCACTCACTTCAAATCAGTTTAGTGAAGATGTTTTAGTATGGAAATCTTCACTGTAAATACAGCTGAATGCCACATTGTATTGAGAGCACAGGTGTCACTCAAATCCTTTCTAGAATCAGAGGTGTGAATGCCTGGGGTTCTTCTAGTTACAGTGAAGAGAGCCCGCTGCCTTCCCCAAGACTGGTCAAGTTACTAGAAGAGAAGAGGTCTACAAATGCCAAAGGCTCAAGCCTGACTGCCAGAGGGCACTGTAACCAACCTTTGGTTAACTGGAGCTGCACTGCACTTGCCCACCTTGGCAAGATTATCAGTAGAAATATTTATATGCTGACAAATGAATGAATGAATTATACGCGGTAGTAAGTCTGTGCTAAGAAAAACTGAAGCATTAGCAGTGTCTACACATGAGCAGCAAAAGGGTTTGGGATGGGGAGGCAGAAGGAGCTATATTAATGGGAGTAGAAGAGTATCTGCAGTTACAGTTTGCAAGTTGCTTCTCCTACATACTAAACGAAGAACAATTAGTTGTCAATCTAGTTGGCCTTTAGCTACATGTGAATTCAAAAGGAAAGTTACCTTTTCATTACAGGCCATTTCACAGGGCAAGAGCTGTTTGACTGGAGACCCCATTGCCTTTTCCACCAGACGGATTGTTCTCACTAATTCTGCCAGTTCATTCGGCTCCAGGGATGCCTGGTGATCATTTCCTTTCCATGTTTTGTCCAAAGTCACATGGCGTTCCAGTACTTTAGCACCCATAGCAACTGCTGCTACTGAAATGGCCATGCCAGTCTCATGTCCAGAATAGCCAATGGGGATATCGGGAAAAGCTGACTGATACGCCTTGAATGACAACAAAGTTGATCTGAATTATAAGGATATCAATTTCAGAGTCACAGAGAGCAAATGTAACAACGACTGTACGTGAACATACAGACCACTAGTGTCCTAAAACAAATGGTTGGCTGTTTAACAGGTAAATCCTGCTTTCAGTTAACACAAACTAGCTGCACTGCACTAGTGACTAGCCTGATTTTGTTTAAGGGGTTCACTGGGACAACCAGCATGAGTAAGGAAGGGTAGGCTCCTTGTACCTTAAAACTTCTCTGGTGTTTTTCCTAGTTACGTTGTATCCATCAGCACCTAAACCCCAAAGATAGTGGGTTACACTAACAATGTGTCTCTCTGTTCCCATCCAAGAGTCAACTGGACTGAACCAATTTAAAAATGTCTATAAAATCCTTTGGATATAGACTAACTTTAAAATAAAGCACCACATGTAACACTGCAGCAGAGGATGCTTCAGACCTGATCCTAGAAGTGCTTATATATGCACAAGTGAGTAGTCTCACTGAAAACAATGCAACTACTCATGTGCATTTAGTTAAGCATGTGCTTAAATATTTTCCACAGTTTTGCAAACTGTTATTTTCTTACTGTAGTATCCTTAGTAATCACAAATATCCATGTGCCTACTACCAACAGGAGCATACTACCTCAGGGCACAGATGCATTTTAGTCACATTCTTGCTTTTCATTGGAAATATTTTTAATTAAAAGTTTTCTGACCTGACCTACTATCTAGGTTCTTAGCGTCTGATTGCCTATACATTATTGTCTTATGCCACGTCAGAGGGCAGGCACAAGATAATATTTCCATGCATATTTCACACCCAGCACTGTTTAAGTGTGCATGTGTCGACTGGTAATATATGTCAGTGGTTTGAGCTTTGCCCTGCTAAACCCAGGGTTGTGAGTTCAATCCTTGAGGGGGCCACTTAGGGATCTGGGGCAAAATCTGTACTTGGTCCTGCTAGTGAGGGCAGGGGGCTGGACTTGATGACCTTTCAAGGTCCCTTCCAGTTCTAGGAGATAAATATATCTCCATTTTCATTTTTTTAATTTAAATCAAATTCCTTGATGCCAAATTCTGCCAATCAGGGCTCCAGCAGAAGCTTTTACTTTGATCCTTAGGGGAACTAGAAAAACATGACATTTTCTGCCCTCTCAGCAGGGAATACCAGCACCCCCAAGATCTAGGAATCTAAGTAAAAGTGCATTATTTCATCTGTGCCCTGTCTTCCCTACACGCTGTACATTACATGTGATTCACTGACCGTTATCACACGGAGGTTGACATCTTCAGGCTGAAGAGGGTAAGCGCTGGTGCACTGGAGAATGCAGAAGTTGGGATTGATCGGTTTCACAAGTTGATAAACCTTGTGCATTGTGTCCATTGACTGCATCCCACTGGAAATTACCATTGGGCGACCTAGCCGGGAAAACAAACAGGGTCATTTTTCTCCCAAGGCTTCATGACTTAGGGCTAATCTATATATGCAAGTTGCATTGGTTTAACATAAGAGTGAATTTAAACAGATTCGGTTAAACCGGTGCAAAATGTTGACTACCACTATTTCAGTGCAAGAGTAGCTTATTCTGATGTAGTTGAAACTTGTTCCAAACTGATTTAAGCTAAAGCAATATAAGGCTGGTTAAACTAAACTAAATGTATCCACACAGCCTTTTGCTCCAGTTTAACTAAATCAGTTTAAAAAAAACAAAACAAAAACACACCTTTAGTTAAACCAGAGCAACTGTGTGTGTAGACAATCCCTTAGATGTCATAGCTGCTAGATCACCGCACCTAAGCCTTTGTCAAGGATTTCATTTTGCTGTCTGAAATTAGTTAAACTAGAAAGAATATTATGCCAGCAACAAAAACACCATGTCTGTTGTTCACTTAACGCTAAAATACACTGCAAGCAATTGCATTCTATTTAAAGATGCATTACGTTAAGTGTGCCTGACTGCTAAAACTGGTGCCGTGACAGGTTGGGGGGTATGTCTGTGTTAAATTGCTAACCCCCTTTTGTTTCATGGGCTCTAAGCCAAGAGGGGAGAGAGCAGGGAGGCAGCTGGAACCCAGAACGCTCCTAGCTAAAGGACATGGGAAAAAGAGGAACAGAGCCTGTTTTAAAACAGGGGAGCTTCTCTAAAAAAGGGGCCAGACCCCAGAGACATACACAAAAACTAGGCTAAGGAGGCAGGACAGGCTGACTAGCCTATGGATGCTGATCACACCCAGGACTCATAGGATGGGTGAAATCGTGGGGGGGAGGGGGCACTACATTTAGGACTGTGTTATTTTCTCAAGATCTCTCTCTCTCTCTACTGTACTTTAAGGGTAAATTGTTTGGGATTAAGAAATCCCCTTGCTATGCCTGTGTTCCCTGCTTTCCTGCCATGCGGTCACTGAAGGCGTTAATAAAGAAGCTCAGAGTGCCCACAGAGAGGGAGGGCTTGGGAGAGCTAGGTCACTGGTTTTGGGGGCTAATGTGGCTGGACTGCAGGATCCCACTGCCCAAGAAGGATGTTAGCCATGCACTCTACACCTGGGAGTGTGCCTGAGAAACCCAGAGCTAGAACCAGGGGCTTAGAAGTATGTGGGATCCAGCAGTTGGATTCATGCACAACAGACTGGCGGTCCATTCAGAGAGAGAGATTGGTCCAGGTTGTAACAGACGATAGCTAAAGGAATTCACAAAGAGACATAACTTGAAACTGAGAAATTACTGAAACTTTCAGATGGTTGTCTCAAGTGGGAGGGAAATGGTTGGGACCTAATCTGCTGGGACTCAGTGAAGGTTAATAAAACAGTCAAAAATAAAACCATTCACCTTTCTTTGCTGTTTTTTCCAAATATGGAAAATTGTTAGTATCTCCTGATCCTACTTTAAAAAATGGAACATCCAGTTCATGCAGAAACTCGACCGCCATCTATGAAGAGAGAACACATTTTTTTTGAATTCCTAAAATTACCAGTCCTCCTCCTACTCAACATCAACAAAGAATCACCCACAGTGGATAACTGAGCCCTTCTTTTCCATAAGAAAGACTAGGAAATTGTAACAAAAGTATTTGAAGTTCAAGGCCATGCACACACATACTCCAATGAAAACTTACCCTATAGCACCAATCACATCACTTTCCACTCCTGGATCAGGGACAACATATTGAATGCATGGGACCAAATTCTGCAGACTAGCATCCTGTGAAACCCAAACAGCACTGAATTTGGCCCAAGAAGTTAAGTCTAGCAAGATTAAGTATAGTGTCTATGGTGTGACAGAATTTACTGGTCAGGAAAGGTACTAGATAGATAGTGCTAGAGACTGATATCTGCTGTCTGTGAATTGCTTTGAGATCCTTGGTGCTATATCAAAGTATCCATGTTGCTATCCACAGAATGAGCAGCAAAAGCACTAACTTCACCAGATAGAGTTGCCAAATGTGCCTCCACCATGAACTGAAGGTCCCACCTCTAGGCATCAGAGAGTAGTGCAGCTTCCAGGCGTTTTTAATCTTTGGCCTCTCTCAAGGGGTGTTAATCAGATTCAGCTGAACTGGTGATTTTTGCTTCAGGTGGTAGTGTAGCCATGATATGGGGGGAGGTAATATCTTTTGTTGGTGAGAGAGACAAGCTTTTGAGCTTACACAGAGCTCTTCTTCAGGTCTGGGAAAGGCACTCAGTGTGTCACAGCTAAATACAAGATGGAACTATTTTTTAAGCATATGTAGTTAACATATTGTAAGAGACTGTTAAGGTGAAGTGGCCAGTTAACACTTCCACAGTCATAAGACAAAGAAGAGTTAGTGGGTTACAGGTTGTTGTAATAATAAAGACACTGGATTTATGACTTAAGTCCATGATTTTTAGTGTCTAGCAAAGTTATGAATTTAAGCTCTTAGGCATGTCTTTTCAAGGTATTAGGCAGGTTCCCTTTGAGGATGAGGCCTGAGAGGTCAGGTATGGAGTGATCATTTTGTGAAGTGTTCACCCAGAGGTAATATGGTGTTTTTGACTTATTTTTCTGTGTGAGTAGAGCATAGTGATTGTCTGGTTTCACCCACATAGTTGTTCCTGGGGCATTTAGTGCACTGGATGAGATATACCACATGTTGTGATAGGCATATGTAGGACCCAAGATTTTGAATGGTGTGCTGTAGGGAGGTATTGATCATCATAGCAGTAGAGACAGGTCTACAGGTTTTGCATCTGTTGTTATGGAGAGGGTCTGGATGCCTCTTTGAGTTGATGGGTCTTGATCTATGGGGAGCTTGCTAGTGAGTTTTGTGATGTGGACCTTTGTCCACTAGGAATGGACTGAGATCAACTCATTTCACTCATCAAATGGTAACAACTTTCAGCCAGTTATCAGCTTGGGCTGGATTTGAATCAATGACCCCACAGGTGAAAGGTATCACCAACCTTCTGAACCAGTAATCAACTCCTCTCTTAGGACTTTGTTTTCTGGAGGCCCAGATGTAAATTACTAGGTGGGTGCTTTTGTTTATAGAATTCTTTCATTCTAAAGAGAAGGGATTCCCCACCACCCATCTTTTTTTTTAAATAAAAAAGTCAGAAAATGTTACAAGTCTCAAAACTATTGAGAGGTTCTAGAATTGTATATTTAAGAGCTGTTTATCCAGTAGTTAGAAGTAGTTAAAACTAAGAAGATAAATATAAAGCTGCACCAGAACATGTGAAATATCAACAGCTTTTTGAAATGTTAATTATACTCAACCCTCTTCTAAAGACTTATGTGCTGCAGACAAAATAATTCAGGTACTATCAGAGATCAGGCAATGACTGCCATTACAATTGTAATTGGCCCCTTTAAGTAGAGGAGTCATCTGGAGGAATTAAAAATAAAACCATTAATCAGCAGAGCTATTACAAAACTCCTCCACCCTTGCTCTGTTTTGGGAAGACATTAGAATAGCTACACAACTTTGTCAATGCTGGAAAGGACAGCAAATTCTGCAACTCATTCATTGTAGTTATGGCGTTTATTCAGAGGTTAAGGCCCGGATCCCCAAAGGTATTTAGTCACTAAACTTGCATTGAAAATAACAGGAGTTAGGTGCCTAAATATCTTTCAGGATCTGGGTCTAGGATTTCTGCCAGAAAGAGGAAAGACAAAACCAACTGTGATCTAGTCTAATTTGCCCCGCCTCTATGATGCTAAATCAAATTTCTCGAGCTTATGCTGCTGTGGATCTTCATAATTATTTGAACTAAATAAACAAATTAGATTTGTGGCCCTGTTACCATTTAAAGGGCTTGGGGAAGATTACACAAAAGAGAGAGCTGGAGCCCAACCCTTCCTAAGCATAACAGCTATTTTCTAACTCTGTGCTCATTTTCTAAAAATATATGTTCTAAAGATTATTTGGGGGAAATTCTATGGCCTGTGTTACTCAGGAGATCAGACCAGATGACCACAATGGTCCCTTCTGGCCTTGGAATCTATGAATCATTTCTTATGAAAAGTTGGCAAGTCATATGGCAAGTTTCAAGGAACAGGAAATAACCTTGAATGACGCACACGGTGCACAGCGTGGGTTCACGGGGACTCTGTTTTGTCTTCACTACAAATTGGAACAGAGAGTATATAAAGGAGTCACTCACTTCCTTTATATTTACTTTACATGAATCAAAATTTCTTCCTCATATTATTAAAAACTTAACTCTACATCTTCTATAGCACAAAATTCCATTTAGTGATGTTCAGTTTAATATTACTAATTGGAAAATATTATTTCATGGCATGGAAGCATTTATAGTCAAAACCCATTAGTCATGATGAGAGCTGCAGGCAGCTTCTTAGACAAATATATTATGCATTTTTGCGAGTCAATATTGTCAGTTAAATTCGGATGGCTGCCTCAGTCACAAGACATCCGTATCCAAAGTAAAAAAGGACTTATCCTGGAAGGTGCTAAGCAACTTCAGCTAGCCATTGGGAGTTGAAGGGGCTCGGCCCTTCATGATAAGAGTTTCACATTTTGTAGATCAAACACCAAAGAATGAAGGGTGGGGTTTTCAAACGTGTCTTTTTGAAAATCCCATTTTAAAGTCCCAGATGCAAGAGCACATGAGGGATTGTTGGGTTTTATTTGTTAATGTAAAAGTTCAATATCCATTACGTAGCAAGCCTCCTTGACTTGAAGGCAGCATGAAGTGACCCACAACAGTACTTTTGCTCATCTGTTTCTAGGCCAAAATTGAGAAACAAAGTAATCCTTGAAATTTATCAGGCACTTCAGCTGAAACACACTGAAAATAAGACTATACCTGTTGAATTTCCAGTTACCAGATTTCAGCTATACCTCATGTTCAAAGGATTGTGTTAACATCAAGATTATGTAGTTGCTGAGGTCAGTTATGCACAACAGTTGAGGATTACAGAGGGCTTTTTTATTTCTTTATACACACACACCTTTGATGGAAGCAGTATGAATTATAGGCTTCATGGAGAAAATGTGTTTATAGGAGAGGACTTGAAGGCAGAGTGGCTGAGAGACTGTCAGACGGGATCAGGGTGTTTCAGGAGGAGGGAGTTGGATGGAAGGATTCCTGACCAAAGAGTAGGAGAAGACAACAAAAGGGACCATTAGTTTCGTGGTTTGGGTCAAGCAAAGGGGGTATGGTGGATAGCAAACAGAGAAAATTGCAAAATAGCAGCAGGGGCTCAGATGAGAAAGGCCTTGACAGGAAAGGAATTTGATGCAAAGTGAAGGCTGAAGGAACCTGAAAGGAGGAGCTGACCATAGAGAGGGTAACATCTAATATGGGAGAGTTGCCAAACTCTGTTGTAACCAGGTTTAAACTGAAAAAGATCAAGTTATTCAGAGTTCTGGATAAGGCCTTTTCTTTAACTTGCTCCACTGTGTGTAGGCACTTCAGCATATGAGAAAATGTATTTGGGGGACATTTTTGGGTAGGAAACATGCAACTGTAACTGGGGGCTAGTCTACGCTGGCAATGCTAAAGTGCTGCCGGGGCAGCGCTTTAACGTGGCTCGTGTAGTGATGGCAGAGCGCTAGGGGAGAGCTCTCCCAGCGCTCTAAAAAAACCACCTCCATGAGAGGCGCGGCTCCCAGCGCTGGTGCACTGTTTACACTGGTGCTTTACAGAGCTGAAACTTGCTGCGCTCAGGGGCGTATTTTTTCACATCCCTGAGCGAGAAAGTTGCAGATCTGTAAAGTGCCAGTGTAGACAAGCCCTGACTCACAATGGGACTGATTAAAGACAAAG